TTTGTTCGACCATTTCTCTCATTTTATTTATCTGCTCCTTTATTTCTTTATTTTGATTGAGAGAGCGTGAGGGCGAGAGAGCGAGAGGGCGAGAGAGCGAGATGGCGAGAGAGCGAGAGAGCGAGAGAGCGAGAGGGCGAGAGAGCGAGAGGGCGAGAGGGCGAGAGAGCGAGAGAGCAAGAGGGCGAGAGAGCAAGAGAGCGAGAGGGCGAGAGGGCGAGAAGGCGAGAAGGCGAGAAAGCGAGAGAGCGAGAGGGCGAGAAGGCGAAAGGGCGAGAGAGCGAGAAGGCGAGAGAGCGAGAGGGCGAGAGAGCGAGAGGGCGAGAGAGCGAGAGGGCGAGGGCAAGAGAGCGAGAGGGCGAAAGGGCGAGAGAGCGAGAGGGCGAGAGAGCAAGAGAACGAGAGAGCGAGAGAGCGAGAGAACGAGAGAGCGAGAGAGCGAGAGAGCAAGAGAGAGAGAGAGAGAGATATATATATTTTTTTATTTACTTTTCGTAGAGTTCTTCTTGCTCGACTTCGTTAATATTATTGATGTGTGCGTAATCCGGTATGCGTTCGGCTCTCCTTTATGCACACGGCTTCACGCGCCTACGATCTCGGTACGGAGCACTACGTCGTTCCCGATTAAACACCCTCGCGACACTTTGTATGCTTATTCCGACAATTTTATGCTATCTCTTAGTGAACATTTGCTGAAAAACAATTAATTTGTTTTAATCTTTATTTACTTAGCAACGATGAAAATCAATATTAATTACTTGAAGTTGTAATCAAATGTGTAAAGCCCGATTAACGATGTCATGTAAACGTAGTCATAATGAATTTAATCTGATTATTATTACTTATTATTACTTATTACCTATTATTACTTATTATTACTTTATCTCAAAATTTGCAGTAGTTACAACGAAAATGGACATTTCTCCAAAAATTCAAAAATTAAAAAAAAATAACTTTCCTTTAATAATAACTTTGGAAATATTTAATAATTTCCTTAATCCGAACATTTTAATTTACGTTATATTAAAAAAAAAACATTTATTTGTGTATGTATACATACCTCATGCATGTGCTCTTTTGATCCAATTTTCTTGAATATTTCTGCCAATTGCTGACAAGTTGACTTGGACAAGTGTTTTGATGTCCTTCCCACATTATTTGATTTTGGCGTCACCTTAGCTGTGGCATTAATCTCATCTGACTTAAGACTCTATTGAGATAAATGTTATTAATTAATTCCTGATTTATATAATTTAACATATCTACACGTAGTAATATTAATATCTAATATAAACGATACAATTACTTCAATATTTAAAAAAATTATGTATATAATTATACGAAACTAACCGCGATTAATCTGATTAAGTAAGCTTGTAATTCAGATTCATTCGTATTGTTTATTAGCGTCAAGTGATGTTGTATCGAACTGCCTTTCACTCTAGTCATACTATGAAGAACTGTCTTGATTGTCCGCAGCGGAGTGTCGGACTTTCGTTTCTTCCACCATGTAGTAGGATAATCCTATAAAAATAACATATATAATACATATAATGTTGTCGCACTGAAATATTAATTTAAGACATAGAACAGCGCAATTAAAACGTTTACTGACTTATTAGTAACTCATGTTAATTGCAAAATGTGCACAATAGTAATCTTTCTTATTGCATTCTCATTTACTTGAATAAGATGAGAAATTGCATTACCTTAAGGAAACGATGCACTTCCAAGAGTATTGTATCGTAATCTAAATCAGCGGTCCAATTTGACATTGTTTTCACTATTTTCCAGAAGCATTTCATCACCAACTTTTCATATTTCGAGGGAACATTTGATTCAGCGCAGGAATGAAGCAGCTTGATCAATACACTGAAAACAAACGTAATAAAATGGAAATAAAAAATTAAAATAAACAATATCACGTTATTATTTCTCTTTTAAAATCGTACCATATAATGGTGGTATGATTAGAATTGTCAATAATTTTCACCATGATGTTATTGATCACTCTGTAATACGCTGCAGCCTGATGCAAATACTGCAACCTGTTTTCGGCCAACAAACTTATCATCTGATCTACTAATTCCTTCAAATACATGAAAGGAACATTCTTCCCGAGAAATCCACTGTCATAAAACTGGAAAAAAAGTTTTAAATAAAAAAAGTTCAAGATTTTTTAAAATCGCTAATTAAAATTTTTTATGCAAGCCTAATTTAAACCTTGTATATACATATTCATATTCATATGAAAATTTCTTATACAGAATATTTTTCGAAAATTTCAAATACTTTTAACACATTCGAACGTCAAGAGAAAAATACAAACGTTTTCTATTGCATTCATGGACTGAACATCGGTCTCAAGACTCTAATAAGCTAAATTAAATAAACTCGATATCGGAACGATACCAGAATATCACATTGCCAATATCAAATTGTATATATTATGTAAGTACTGAGCGACATATCTAGATGAAAAACCTATCCAGAGCAATAATTAACATATGAGCCGCGCGTCATCCAGTCTAATATTGGAACATTAAACATTAACGAGTAACCAAGGTATACTATACGGTACATCTAAAGTACTGCCACATAAATTAGGAGTTTGGTATAAAAATGAGGCATAATTTCACAATCAGGAAATTTTTGTAATGCTACTCCTCTATCTCTCAATTAATGTATCCGTATATCAAACATGACAATGTAATTCCCATCATTAAACTAAATCATGCATAAATATTAATATTGTGCCTTCAAATATATATGTTTAAAGAGAATAACGATTTCTTAAACAACTACTGTATTCTTATGTCGGTAGCAAACAGTCTTAACAACGAGCGTAGACTAATCATATCGCGTTCCATAATCGTGTAGCCCTTGCGTTGGTATGTATTATGTTACGTGCTAGGAATTAATAGCTCTCATTAGATGTAACGTAGCAACGTTAGTAGCGATTGACAATTGACGACAACGCAACGTAGTTGCTCAGCCACTGTACCGTTAACCAGAGCTTCTTTAGGCTTATTGCTCTGCTGCATACGAGGAGGACGAGACCGATGTTCTCTTTGGCCTTTAGGTCCCTGCGAACTGTTGTTAAACATGAATTCGTTAGAGTAATAATGTAGATATTTACATTAATAAGAAAATATTCAATTTTTTAATGTTTTGTTCAATTGTATTATGTATGCACTTAATTATAGACATACGTTATACATCTTCGGTTTCAGCAGGAGAAACCAAACGTATGTTAAATAATTACGACAAAATTATGTAAATATCTACATTATTACTGTAAGGAATTCATGTTTAACAACAGTTCGCAAGGACCTAAAAACCAAAGAGAACATCGGTCTCGTCCTCTTCGTATGCAACAGAGCAATAAACCTAAAGAAAGTCTGGTTCACAGTACAGTAACTGAGCAACTACGTTGCATTGTCGCCAATCGCAAATCACTACTAACGTTGCTACATTACATCTGATGAGAGCTATTAACTCCCAGCACGTAACATGATACATACCGACAGAAAGTTTCTTCAACACCGCACCAATATTAATTTCTGCGTCCTTAGCGAACATCTTTGGTTTCTCGAAAGGAATAGCCACGCCACCTTTAACGGTTTCCCACTTTCCTTTGCCATCATCTTTGTCACGTTTCTTTTCTCGTTCTTTTTCTTTGCGTTCTTTACGTTGCTCTTTCGTCTTCGCTTTATCCTGGTTCTCCTCCTAGGCTAAAGCCCTATGTAAAAAAAACATTATGGTGTTATATAATATATCATGCTTCATGTTATCGGCGTTTTAAATATAAAATATTTCGCGTCTTACCTGTTATCAGAGCGGCGAGACCTTTAGCGTAAAATCGACAATACATCGCCCCCAAGCATCCATACATGGAATTGGCTGTGAGGTTCAACGCCATTTGCTTGATATGATAATCCATTTTCTGTTCCGGCAATAGATTCGGCGCTTTCATGACTTGCTTGATCTGCTGTCTATTTTTGACTAATTTGTAACTCTCCATCGGGATCATACCTGACTCCAGATTTAACTCGAGAATATTTAATTGCTGCACTGTATAAATTATGTTTTAGTCCAGATATTTACTTCATGAATAAAAAATAAATATATAAAAATATATTCAGATCTCACCTTTATCGAGGTTAATATTAATAATAATATTAACCTCGCGACACGACGCGGGTCGATTAACCTCGCGACACGACGCGAGCTGTCACATCATGACACACACGACGCACTATACACGCACGAAACTCGCCACACTCCGCGATGACAGTCCCTCACGGGATGAAGCAAGCTACGCGGCGCGGCAATCAATCGAGATAGCCAATCGGCATCGCGGAAAAGTATCGAGAACCGCAACTCAAGTTCCTTGTAGAACCTAGAGAACTA